GAGTGGAAGAACAGTAGAGAACGAGGGGGCGAGTAGTAGTACGAGTGGCGAGTAGTCGTATGATTGTCGAAGTAGTAGTGTGAGTGCAAGTATAGTACAAGTAGTATTATGAGTGTGAGTAGTGTATATAGTGAGAGTCGTAGTACGAGTAGTAGAAATGAGTGGCGAGTAGTAGTACGAGTGCGAGTAGTAGTATAGTAGTAGTACAGTGCGATTAAGTAGTACTAGTGCGATTAGTAGTACATGCAAGTAGTAGTACGAGTGTTGAGTAGTAGTAACAGTATAGTACGAGTGCGAGTAGTAGTACAAGTAGTAGTACGAGTGCAGTATAGTATGAGTGCGAGTACAAGTAGCAAGGTGAATCGAAGGCGTGGCTGGGTGGGGGTCTTTTACAAAAGGGGAGGTTATACTTAATGCCCAGTGATCACTACTAAGAATCGGATGACTTCCGCAGTGCTTAGTATCTAATACAAGATATTCAACCAGTAGTTATGAAACCTAATGCAGCATCACATCCACATGAACTCGTACACCACTCGCACTCTTACTACCACTCGCACTCGTACTACCACTCGCACTCGTACTACCACTCGCACGATCGTAATCCCACTCGCACTCGTACTAACGACTTCGCACTCGTACTACCACTGATCGCACTCGTACTACTGCTCCCTACTTGCCTATGTACTACTGGTACACTACTCAGCACTCGTACTACTACTGTACTACTACTCACACTCCGACTACTACATCACTCGTACTAACTACTTGCATCTCGTACTACTACTCGCCACTCTTATCTACTACTCATACTACACTCGTACTACTACTCCAGAAGTACTACTACTGGTATTTGGGGGGGGGGGGGGGGGGGGGGGGCTACAAGACAAAAACTCATACAACGACTCATACTACAAACTCTCACTACTACTCAATTACTACTCGCACTTCAGACTACTACTCTACTACCTACTATGCACGCGTACTACTACGTGGACTACGTACTCCACACATCGTACTACTACTGTACTACTACTCGCACTTCGTACTACTAACTCGCATCTCTTACTACACTCGTACTACTACTCGCAGATGTACTAACCACTCGCACTCGTACTACCAACTCGCACTCATCCTACTACGCACAATCGTACTCTACACGCACTCTCCTACTAATCGCACCGTCGTACTACCTACTCGCACTCTTACTACTCTCGCAACTCGTACTACTACTCGCACTACGAACTACTAACTCACACACGTTACACTGAGCTGGTTAACTACTACATGCACACGTACTACTAGTGGTACATACTACTCACAATCGTACGTAATACAGGTACTACTACTGCGCACTATCGTACTACTACTCGCAGATGTACTACCACACAGCACCCGTACTACTACCACTCTGTTCGACATCTCTACTACTACGCACTACGTACTACTACTCAACTAATACTTAAACACGCACTCACGTACTACAAATGCACACGTACAACTACTCGCGGGTGACACGTACTACTACTCTACTACTCGCACTTCGACTACTCACCACCATCGTACTACTGCTACTACTCGTACAACTAACTCCAGCACGTACTACTACAGTTAATTATGCCACTCACAACTCGTACTACCACTCGCACACGAATTACCACTCGCACCGAGACTACCACTCGCATCGTACAAACGCACTTCGCACCACGTACTACTACCACTCGCACCTCGACTACCCTCCACTCATAACAACTACCACTCGACTACAACTCAGCACTAGCGAACTACACTCGCACTCATACTTAAACTCTCACTCGTACTACTACAAACAAGTACTACTACCCGCACTCGTACTACAACAACTCGCACTCGTACTCCTGACTCGAACGAACTACGTTACACTCGTACTACTACTGGTAATTCCACTCATACCGACTACCACTCGCACTCGACCTACCACTACCACTTCTCGCGACTCATACTACCACTCGGCACTCGTACTACCACACGCACTCGTACAACCACATTCGCACCAACTACAAACGCACTCGTACTACTAGACGCACTCGACTACAACTGGTACTACTGACACGTCACACGACCAACAACTTGCATTGTACGAACTACTCGCACTCGTACTACTACTGTACTACTCACACACACACGTACTACAACTGGTACTACAACTTAGCACTCGAACTACCACTCGTCACTTCCTCGTACTACCACTCGCACTCGTACTACGCACTCGCACTCTATACTCGCAATACTATGCACAACGTACAACTACTGCGCACTCGTACTCAACTGGTACTACTCTCGCGGGTACTCGTACTACAACGTGTATGTACTACTACTCGCACTCGTACACTACTTGCATTTGTACAACTACTCACGCACTCGAACTACTACTGGACTACTACTCACACCAGTCACACTCGTACTACTACTGGTACTACTACTTGCACTCGTAAAAACTACTGACACTACTCTCACTCTTACTACTACACGTACGACCACTCTCAGATGTACTACCACACTCGACTGCATTCTACTACCACGGTCGAACTACTACAACTCGCAGATGTACTACCCACTCCGCACTTATTCAACTACGCACTCAAACTACTACTTGCAACTCGAACTACGACTCGCACTCGTACTACTACTCGCCACAGTACTACTACAACGTGTCGCACTCATACTTAAAACTCGCACTCGTACTAACACCATTCGTACTACTACTCGCACGTCGTACAACAACTTGCACTCGTACTACAACTCGCACTCGTACTAACTACTCGCACGTCGGTAACTACTACTCGTACTACCTACTCGCACTCGTACCTAAACTACTGGTAATTCCACTCATACCCTCGACTAACCACACACACTCGTACTACTTTAAACCTCTCACTCGTACTACTACTCATACTACTACAAACTAGTACTACTAGTCGCACATCGTACAACTACTCGTACTACTACTTTACACTCGTACTACTACAGGTAGTAGTAACTCCACTCACACGCACTCGTACACCTCTCGCACTTCATACTACTACACACCGACTACTAACGCACGTTCGTACTACTACTCGCCACTCGTACTACAACTCGCACTCATACTTAAACTCTCACGTCGTAACTACTATTCATACTATACAAACTAGTATGTCTACTACTCGCACCGTACTACTACTCGTACACTTACTTACACTCGTACTACAACTGGTAGGTAGAACGCACCTCGTATTCGCACTCGTACTACCACTCGACCCCATACTACTACCACTCGGACTACTACTCGCACCCATACTTAAACTCGCACCACGTACAACTACTCATAACTACTATGCCACTACTTGACTAAACTACTTCGCACCGTAAACATCACACTCGTACTACTACTACTACAACACGTACTACCTACTCGCACTCGTATCTACTACAGGTAATTCCACTCACACAACGTACTAAAACCACTAACGTCGCACTCGTACTATACTAATACCACTTCGCACTCGTACTTCCACACGCACTCTACACCCACGCGCCCTTGTCGTACTACCACTCTCACCTCGTACTACCACTCGCACCGCACCACCACTCGCACTACATACTACTGAACGCAATCGTACTCCTACTCGCACTCTACACTCACTACATACCACTCACTACTCGCACTCATACTTAAACACATCGCTCGTACTACTACATCATACGTACTACAAATAGTACTACTACTACTCGCAGCGACGTACGTAACATAAATATACTACTACTAAACTAAAAAAGAAATACCAACGAAAACGAAAGAAACACCCCCAGCCCACCGCCCACACCCCAAACCCCTCGCAACGCCCACACACCCGGACCCACCCGAGGGGGCGCACCACCCCCACCCCGCCCACGCCGCCGGCGCACCGCCCTCCCTCCCTCCCCACGCCCCCCCCACCCACCCCCCGCCTTCCCAGCCCACCCACCAAACCAACCCCCACCACCCCCCCCCGGCGCGCCCGCCCCCTCCCCCTCGCCCCCCACACCCCCGCCGTCCCACCCCACCCGCCGCCAACTTCCCTCCTCCCTCGCGCTCCCCCACCCACTTACGGTTCTGCACCACATAGCCACCTCCAGTACCTCCCCCACCAACACGACCACCCCCCCACTCGCCCACGTGGTCCGCGCTGGACCCCGGCGTCGGTACACCTGCGCGACGGTGCGCATATCGCCCGAACGCGACACCAGACCCATGCGAAACCCCTTAGACGGGCTGCACTACCACCCGCCACGCGACTACGTCCTCTATCCGCATAAAGCACACCCGGGCGTCGACAACCTCCCCCGGGAAACACTCGAGCTCACCGGGTGACGCCCCATGGACCTTCGAGTCCACGCCCCCCACTCGACTGAACCACACACACCAACTACAGCAAACCCACCTCCGTCCCTGACGGTACAACCCGCAAGACTAACGCCCACCGGGACGATCCTCCCCCCCCTGGTTACCCACCTCCATCGCCGCGCACTAAGGAGGCCACCTCCAATCCAATGACCACCTCCACCACGCCCCGAACTGCGCGCCCGTCAAGCGGTCAGGGGATGCGTAGTTACGACCTCCATACATGCACACACCAAGTCCCAGTGAACAACAACCTCAACACTCGTCCTAACTAACTGGAACAACTACTTGCACACTCGACTCCCACTCGCACTCCGTACTCCCCCTCCGCCCACAACACAACTACGCACGTCGTACACTAACATGCACGTCGTACTACCAACGAGGTACTACTACTCGCACTCTATACAACTTAGCAATTGAACTCCTACATTCGTCGACTCGAACTACTACTGGTACACTACTTTGCACACGTAAAACTACTCGCACCATACACTACTCGTTCTACTAACTTCGAAGAAGATCCTCCCACTCGCACCTCAATCTACTACGCACTCTGAACTACTACTCGTAGGATGTACTCCCACTCGCATCATTATCAACTATACGCACGAGTCGTTACTACTATCTTGCACTCGCACTACAACTCCGCACACGTACTACAACTCGACTCAAACTAAACTACACTCACTCGTACTAACTACGCACTCGTAACACTACGTCCACACGTACTACTACTTGCACTCGTACTACTACTATCTGCCTCGTACTACTACTCGCACTCGTACTACTCCTCGCAATCTTACTACTACATCGTAACAACAACTTCGCACACGAACTAATACTGTAAAGTCCACTCATACTCCGTACTACCACTCGCAGCCTCGTACTACCGACTCGACTCATACTACTTAAACACTCACATCGTACTACTACCATACTACTACAAACTAGTACTACTAGTCCACTCGACTACTATCGTGACTACTACTTACCACACTCGTACTACTACTGGATTAATACAGCACTCTCGTACTCGCACTCGTACAACCACTCGCACTCATACGACTACACACTCGTACTACTACGCAACTCCGAACTACTACTCGCACTCGTACTAATACTCGCACTCTACTTAAACTCCACTCGTACTACATACAAACTACCACAAACATTACTACAACTCGCACTCGTACTACACATACTCCGTACTACAACTTACAAACTCGTACTACTACGAGTAGTAACGGCACTCGTACTAACGCCTCCGCGGTCCACTCGTCACCACTCGCATCATACTACAACACACATCTTACTACTACGCACACGTACTACTACTCGCACTCGGACTACTCACTCTACTCGCACTCATACTTTTCAACTCTCACTCGGAATACTATTCATACTACTACAAAACTAGTACTACCTACTCGCACCTGACTACTACTCGTACTACTACTTACACTCGGACTACTACTGGTATAGTAAACGGCACGATCGTATTCGCCACTCGATACTACCACTCGCACTCATACTACACGCACTTCACGTACTCCTACTCCGCACTCGTAACTACTACTCGCACCCATACTATAAACTCGTCACTTCGTACTACTACTCATACTACTAGGCACTCGAACTACTACGCGCACTCGTACTACTATTCAACACGTACTACTACTACTACTACACTTACTACTACTCGCACTGTACTACTACTGTAATTCCACTCAACACTACGAACTAAACCACTCGCACTCGTACTACCACTACTCCGCTACTCGTAACATAGCCACTCGCACGACGTACTACCACCGCACACGTACTACCACTCGCACGTATAGCGAACAACCACGCAACACATACAACTACGCACACGTACTACTACTCCACTCGTACTACACTACAACTCGCACTCATACATAAACTCTCCATCGTACTACTACTCAGACGTACTACAAACAATACAACTACTCGCTACTCGCGTACTACAACTCGCACTCGTACTACACTGTTAATTCCACTTATACTCGTACTCCCAACACGCACGTCGTACTAACCACTCGCACTCTATAACTACCACTCGCACTCGACTACCACTCGCACTCCTACTACTAACGACACTCGTACTACTTACGCACTCAACTACAACTGGAAATACTACTCGCACTCGTACTACTACTTGCATTTGTACACAACACCGCACATCGTATACTTACTGTACTAATACTCACACTCGTACTACTACTGGGTTGACTACTACTTGCACTCTACTAACCACTCGCACTCATTCTACAACCACCATCGTACTACTATCTTGCACTCTGTTACTACAACGTACTACTACTCGCACACGAACTACTACTAGCATTTGTACTACTACTCGCACTCGTACTACTACTGGTACTTACTACTCACAACTCGTACTACTACAGGTAACTACTACTTGCACTCGTACTACAACTCGCCTCCTTTACTACTACTTTACTCGTACTACAACTCGCAGATGTACAACCACTCGCACGTCATTCTACAACGCACTCGTACTACAAGCTCGTCACTCGTGACTCCAAACTACTCCAGATGTACTACCAATTCGCGACTTACTTCTACACGCACTCGTTACTACAACTGCGCACTAGTACTACTACTTCACTCGTACTACTCCGCACTCATACTTAAACTCGTCAACTTCGTAACTACTACGCACTCGTACTACTACTAACACTCGTACTAACCTACTACTACTCGTACTAACTACTCGCACTCGTACTACTACTGGTTAATTCCACTCATACTCGTACTACCACTCGCACTCGTACTACTTAAACTCTCACTCGTACTACTACTCACACTACTACAAAACTAGTACTACTAGTCGCACTCGTACTACTACTTACACTCGTACTACTACTGGTAGTAGTACGCACTCGTACTCGCACTCGTACTACCACTCGCACTCATACTACTACACACTCGTACTACTACGCACTCGTACTACTACTCGCACTCGTACTACTACTCGCACTCATACTTAAACTCTCACTCGTACTACTATTCATACTACTACAAACTAGTACTACTACTCGCACTCGTACTACAACTCGTACTACTACTTACACTCGTACTACTACTGGTAGTAGTACGCACTCGTATTCGCACTCGTACTACCACTCGCACTCGTACTACTACTCGCACTCGTACTACTACTCGCACTCATACTACCACTCGCACCTCATACTACTGCGCACTTCGTACTACTACTCGCACTCGTACTCGTACTCGCACCCATACTTAAACTCGCACTCGTACTACTACTCATACTACTATGCACTCGTACTACTACTCGCACTCGTACTACTACTCGCACTCGTACTACTACTGGTAATTCCACTCACACTCGTACTACCACTCGCACTCGTACTACCACTCGCACTCATACTACCACTCGCACTCGTACTACCACTCACACTCGTACTACCACTCGCACTGATACTACTACGCACTCGTACTACTAGTCGCACTCGTACTACCACTCGCACTCGTACTACCACTCGCACTTGTACTACCACTTGCACTCGTACTACCACTCGCACTCATACTACTACGCACTTCGTACTACCACTCGCACTCGTACTACCACTCGCACTCGTACTACCACTCGCACTCGTACTACCACTCGCACTCGTACTACCACTTGCACTTGTACTACCACTCACACTCATACTACTACGCACTCGTACTACTACTCGGACTCATACTTAAACTCTCACTCGTACTACTACTCATACTACTACAAACTAGTACTACTACTCACACTCGTACTACTACTCGCACTCGTACTACTACTCGCACTCGTACTACTACTCGTACTACTATGCACTCGTACTACTACTCGCACTCGTACTACTATTCACTCATACTTAAACTCGCACTCGTACTATTACTCATACTACTATGCACTCGTACTACTACTCGCACTCGTACTACTGTTCACACTCGTACTACTACTACTACTCGTACTACTACTCGCACTCGTACTACTAATCGTACTACTACCTTACACTCGTACTACTACTGGTAGTAGTACACACTCGTACTCGCACTCGTACTACCACTCGCACTCATACTACTACGCACTTCGTACTACTACTCGCACTCGTACTACTACTTGCACTCATACTTAAACTCGCACTCGTACTACAACTCATACTAGTACGCACTCGTACTACTACTCGCACACGTACTACTACTCGCACTCGTTCTACTACTCGCACTCGTACTACTACTGGTACTACTACTCACACTCGTACTACTACTGGTACTACTACTCGCACTCGTACTACTACTCGCACTCGTTCTACTACTCGCACTCGTACTACTACTGGTACTACTACTCACACTCGTACTACTACTGGTACTACTACTCACACTCGTACTACTACTGGTACTACTACTTGCACTCGTACTACTACTCGCACTCTTACTACTACTCGTACTACTACTCACAGATGTACTACCACTCGCACTCGTACTACCACTCGCACTCATACTACTACGCACTCGTACTACTACTCGCACTCGTACTACTACCTGCACTCGTACTACTACTCGCACTCATACTTAAACTCGCACTCGTACTACTACTCATACTACTATGCACTCGTACTACTACTCGCACTCGTACTACTACTCGTACTCGTACTACTACTCGCACTCGTACTACTACTCGCACTCGTACTACTATTCGCACTCATACTACTACTACTCGTACACTCGCACTCGTACTACTACTCATACTACTATGCACTCGTACTACTACTCGCACTCATACTACTAATGGTAATTCCATTCGCACTCGTACTACTACTGGTAATTCCACTCATACTCGTACTACCACTCGCACTCGTACTACCACTCGCACTCATACTACTATGCACTCATACTACTACTCGCACTCGTACTACAACTGGTACTACTACTCGCACTCGTACTACTACTCGCACTCGTACTACTACTTGCATTTGTACTACTACTCGCACTCGTACTACTACTGGTACTACTACTCACACTCGTACTACTACTGGTACTACTACTTGCACTCATACTACTACTCGCACTCTTACTACTACTCGTACTACTACTCACAGATGTACTACCACTCGCACTCGTACTACCACTCACACTCATTCTACTACGCACTCGTACTACTACTCGCACTCGTACTACTACTTGCACTCGTACTACTACTCGCACTCATACTTAAACTCGTACTCGTACTACTACTCATACTACTACGCACTCGTACTACTACTCGCACATCGTACTACTACTCGCACTCGTACTACTACTCGCACTCGTACTACTAGTAGTACTACTGGTACTACTACTCACACTCGTACTAATACTGGTACTACTACTCGCACTCTTACTACTACTCGTACTACTACTCACAGATGTACTACCACTCGCACTCGTACTACCACTCACACTCATTCTACTACGCACTCTACTACTACTCGCACTCGTACTACTACTCGCACTCGTACTACTACTCGCACTCATACTTAAACTCGCACTCGTACTACTACTCATACTACTACGCACTCGTACTACTACTCGCACTCGTACTACTACTCGCACCTCGTACTACTAGTAGTACTACTGGTACTACTACTCACACTCGTACTACTACTGGTACTACTACTCGCACTCTTACTACTACTCGTACTACTACTCGCAGATGTACTACCACTCGCACTCGTACTACCACTCGCACTCGTACTATTACTTGCACTCGTACTACTCGCACTCATACTTAAACTCGCACTCGTACTACTACTCATATTACTATGCACTCGCACTCGTACCACTACTCGCACTCGTACTACTACTACTACTCGTACTACTACTCGCACTCGTACTACTACTGGTAATTCCACTCACACTCGTGCTACCACTCGCACTCGTACTACTACGCACTCGTACTACTACTCACACTCATATTTAAACTCTCACTCGTACTACTACTCATACTACTACAAACTAGTACTACCACTCGCACTCGTACTACTACTCCCACTCGTACTACTACTCCCACTCGTACTACTACTTGTACTACTCACACTCGCACTCGTACTACCACTCGCACTCGTACTACCACTCGCACTCGCACTACCACTCGCACTCGCACTAACCACTCGCACTCGTACTACCACTCGCACTCATACTTAAACTCTCACTCGTACTACTACTCATACTACTACGCACTCGTACTACTACTCGCACTCATACTTAAACTCTCACTCGTACTACTACTCATACTACTACGCACTCGTACTACCACTCGCACTCATACTTAAACTCTCACTCGTACTACTACTCATACTACTACGCACTCGTACTACCACTCGCACTCATACTTAAACTCTCACTCGTACTACTACTCATACTACTACGCACTCGTACTACCACTCGCACTCATACTTAAACTCTCACTCGTACTACTACTCATACTACTACGCACTCATACTACCACTCGCACTCATACTTAAACTCTCACTCGTACTACTACTCATACTACTACGCACTCGTACTACCACTCGCACTCATACTTAAACTCTCACTCGTACTACTACTCATACTACTACGCACTCGTACTACTACTCGTACTCATACTACTACTGGTAATTCCACTCATACTCATACTACCACTCGCACTCGTACTACCACTCGCACTCGTACTACCACTCGCACTCGTACTACTACTTGCATTTGTACTACTACTCGCACTCGTACTACTACTGGTACTACTACTTGCACTCGTACTACTACTGGTACTACTACTCACACTCGTACTACTTTACTACTCGCAATCTTACTACTACTCGCACTCCTACTACTACTCATACTACTACTCGCAGATGTACTACCACACGCACTCGTACTACTACTCGCACTCGTACTGCTACTCGCACTCGTACTACTACTCCCACTCGTACTACTACTTGTACTACTCACACTCGCACTCGTACTACCACTCACACTCGTACTACCACTCGCACTCGTACTACCAC